ACATTATGCAAAGTTTAAATTAGGCAATAACAAGTCCTGTAAGGGAATAGGCTCCCGCGCCAGCCTAAGCTGACTCTTTTTCCTTTTTTGTAAGATATCGTAAGAGAATATTACGAGCACCATTTATATCTCTATCAAGATTTATTTTACATTGGGGACAGTAAAATTCTTTGGATCCGCCTAGTTTTTTTATGAATATAGCCACAGAATCCGCAAGTTTTGCTTGTGTATTCTTCTGTACACATGATGACTTTGCACCAAGAATACTCACGTGACTTATGGATCAAATGCTGTCGAAAGCGAAAATGTGACCATGTACACATGGCTCGAGCAGTCTTGGAGCCAATGCGCCGTTGCCCACGTCTGACCATTCCTTGAGTGCGAAATTCTGGTAGTAATATTATACAATAATTTTCTCACAGCCATTTAGCCAACTTATAATGACAATCATTCACAAGACAACGGATTTTTTTATGAATTCGTAACATAACACGACATAACCTACAATTAAAAGTAGTAAATACATTAAATTATAAATAAATAAATTTTACCTATAACGTTTTCGCTTGTTTTTTTTTCCATGAATTTGATCACGCTTGCTTTGGAGTTTGTCATATGCATGACATAATCTGTAAACTCGGCCAACATCATTTTTGCCCCATTCAACAGCCATTCCACTTGGATCATAGCCTGTCATAAATGTACGTACACCTGGATCAGAGAAATCACTCCTGATCCTTCCTATTAAATTATTAAATATATGATTAATTGAAGTTTTAATTTAGATAATATAAAGAATAAAAAATAGATAAAAACCTTTTGAAATATAGGACCTTAGTTTTCGGTCTGTATTTCAAGCGGTCTGGGTATACATAGATAATATTCACCAAGTCGATTCATAACAAGGCGGCTATCATATTCAAGTTTTTTTGGAAGAGGTTCTGATGACTTAATTTTGGAAAGAAATGAATATTCACCACGAGTTTTACCCCAATGTTTTGATAATACTGTGATAGACTGATGAGAATCCTTTTTTGAAC